CAGTAGCCAGACGGCTCCCTCCCTGCATGACAGCCATCTCTGCTATAGACATGTTGCGCAAACAGAAAAGATAGTTATAGGCTCTCCTTTGTTTATGTTCCCCATTCTGTTACCAGTAAATCTCCACTGAATTATTATCACACTTAACACTTCTGTCAGTTGACTAGCTCTTGCCTTCTGCACCTAATTTTACTGGAACTCGATGTAACAGTCTTAACCCAGTGACTTTGCTACCTTCTTGGTAGGATAAAGACATCCACAATTGTGTTTTGCTTATTGACTGCATTTTTGTTTCTAGGAATAGTTTACAGGAAACCCCTGTTGATAAGGCTGACTTAATTTGGTTTATAGATGGATCTCTGAAAGATGAACAGGGATATTACTGAGCTGAATATGCAGTAACTTCCCTGGTAGACATAATTGAAGATTCTTATTTACCTGGATAAGATCTGCCCAACAAGCCTAATGAATACTTCTAACTTGGGCTTCTCCATTGGTAAAGATCAAATAGCCAATATTTACACTGATAGAAGCTATGCCCTGGATGTAGCTCACAACTTTAGAATATTGTTAAAGGAGCAAGTCTTCTTGATTTCCTCAGGGCAGCCTATAAAGAATGGAAAGTAGGTTGCAGAATTATTAGATGCCATACAGAAACTAAAATAATTGGCAATTATCAAAATTCCAGGACATTGTCAAGCTGCCACCATGGAAGCAAAAGGAAATTATTTAGCTGACACTGCAGCTAGACGGGCAACATTAAACAGCCAAATTATCCAGATCTGAGAATGCTCCTTGCTTTCTGCTAAACCAATAAAAGACTCTCTTTTATAATTCCAATTGACAGCTGCAGAAGAAAAGAGGATATGGGAACAAAAAGAGGGAACCTCTGTCCCAGGCAAACAGGTATGGCTTGGACCCAGTCAGAAGTCAATCTTACCTATAGGGGCTTAATTCTCTATACTTACACATGTATGTGAGCTAAAACATTGGAGTTCTAAATGACGATTTCATGGAGTAAACAATATTACTGCTACTGTAGCCCATTAAGTATATAGCAGATGTTTTATAAGTCCAATAATAATGCTGGAAAATCATTCCATGGGTCCCAAGAACATTTCCCACTTTCTTTAGATCCATTTGAGGGACAGTAATTGGATTTTATTCAAATGCTACCATTTCAAGAAACAAATCTGTGTTAGTTATGATTTGTATGGGTTGAGTCATTCCTTGCAGGAAAGCAACAGCCTTAATGGTAAGTAAGTTATTAGAAAAAAATTAATTACCAATTGGGGAATTCCTTCTGAGTTTCAGTGACTGAGAGACTCATTTTACTGAGCAAATAATACAATTCACTTGTAATATCTGGCCTATCCTACATTATTTTCATTGTGCCTATCCCCCCATTTCTCTGGATTGGTAGAACATACAAATGGTACAGTTAAAACTCAACTACGTAAATTTTCAGAAGCTTTTAATCTACCTTGGCCTAAAGCTCTCCCTACACTGATCCTCAACTTGAAATCTACTTTTGGTAAACATAGCATTTCTCCTTATGAAATAGTCAGCAGTTACCCTATGAATTCTGAATGAAGGGACATGTTAATCAACTTTTTTAAAAGGAGACATTCTGCACTATTTTCACAGGCTCATTTAACCAGCTTATAGGGACTAATAAATTAGTAACAATCATTTTACAATGTGCTCCCAGGTGATGGACACCTTGAAGACTACAACTTACAACCAGGAGGTTTTTGCCCATTGGAAAAAAAACATTTATTAAAGACTCTCTCCAACATTGTTGGAAGGAACTTTATTAGACACCTAACCTCGAATGGACATCTGCCCGTTTCTGACACTTGCCTCTGCCTTCAGCAAAGATCAAAGACTTCTCAAGGACATTAGAGATAGACAGCTATCTCAAGACATTGACAAGGCTTGTATACCTACAAATTGATGCTGAACTTTATTTGTTTGATTAAAAAAATTATTTATTTATTTATTTTTAGAGCGAGGAGAAAGGAGGGAGAAAGAGAGGGAAAGAAACATTGATATGAGAGAGGAACATCAATTGGTTGCCTCATAGCGCCCCAACTGGAGACCGAACGTGCCACCCAGGCATGTGCCCTGACAGGGAATCTAAGTGGTGGCCTCCACTTTGCGGAAGGGTGCCCAACTAACTGAGTCACAGCAGTCAGGCTGTTTGATTGTTCTTACCTGTCTGCTAATATTAGTAATAATAATAACTATACTTGTTCTTTAGGCTTTTTTCAAACCTTATGTATACAGCCCAGTTGTTAATAATGGCTGAAGGTGTATAAAATAACTTTTGTATTATCAATAATACCTTTTTTTTATGGTTTCTCTTTTGAAATTTAGAAGAAATGGTGTTGCAAAGAGAAGGAAAAGAATGTGTATATTTTTAAGAGAAGGTAAAAGGAAGTAGTTTGTCCTAATAAGCTGTTTTTTTCTGAATGAGTAAAAAGAGACAAACAGATAAACCGGGAAGTTGTAGAAAGTTAGTAGAAAAGCAGTATTAAAAAAGGAATTTTATGTATAAATGCCAGAACCTAATTATGGAAATATGCTCACCCCCTAACCTAACAAGGACTGAAACAGATAGAATAAAATGTTCCCAAAAATTACTCCATTGAGTCAAACCCTATCACATCAATATATAGCTATCAATAGGTAGCTATAAAATAATGGTACAGAAACTACCATGACTTCTTTTAAGTTTGTTTTTCAGATCTAAAGCAAACTCAATACCTGGTTGGGAAGTCCCTTCCTGCATCCCCCAGTAAGTCTTGCACATCCCCAGAATGTCTTGCCTTACTGATGAGTACTTGGGACTTCAGTGGGACCCCAGCATTCCTAAAAAGGAAAAAGCGAGCCAACCTACATCCTGTTTGGTTAACCCCAGCAAATTCCATGTTCCCAAGGATAAACATCCCTAAGTTCCACATTTGGAGTACAGAACCTGAGGTCCTATCTCAGTGTTCTTGCCCTCTGCAGAGCCTCAGTGAGTCTGCCTTTGCTTTTATCAGTGTCCCTGGTCTAAATTATTTTATACCAGGAGACAAGAACCCAAACTCATTGATAACAGGACTACTAATTATAGAAGCTGAAGTGGCTATAAAAACATGGCCTTCTATAATTGTTGCTGAGGCACGAGAAATTTATTTATGAAACTCTTGGCCCTGGCCTGATAGCTCAATTGGTTAGAGTGTTATCGCGATATGCTACAGTAGCAGGTTCAATCTCCTTCAGGGCACATACAAGAATTAACAAATGAATGCATAAATAACTGGAAAAACAAGTCAATGTTTCTCTCTCTCTTAAAAAAAAAAAAAGAAAGAAAGAAAAACTCTTACTGTCCTCATGGCCTCTGGAATTTTAGATGGTAATTGTAATATACAGCATTTTTTTTATAGCCTTGGCCCTGATTAAACTTTAAGATTACAGCTTCCGATTGTTTAACTAGGAGGAATCAGATTTATAATAGCACCTGAGTGCTTCCAATGGGAAACAGATGGGCCATAGTAAATAGAAATCTACCTCATGGTCAGATTATGAAAACTGAAAAGGTATATGGTGTGCCCTCAAACTAAGAAAATGTTATATTAGATGCAAAATACAGAGAAAATTTATACTAGACAGCAGAATCTAGATCATGATAGCTGATAGGTTAGAAATGATCCAGAGTGCCTGCCTTCCTTCCTTCCTTCCTTCCTTCCTTCCTTCCTTTATTTTTAGAGAGAAGGGAAGGGAGGGAGTAAGAGACAGAGAGAGACATCAGTGTGTGAGAGATATATTGATAGGTTGCCTCTTGCACACCCCCAACTGGGCACCTGGCCCGCAAGCCAGGCATGTGCCCTGACTGGGAATCAAGTCAGAGACCTTTTGGTTCACAGGTCAGCACTCAATCCACTGAGCCACACCAGCCAAGGCCAAAGTGTTTTTTTTAATAAAGGCCCGTAAGATCTGCCTGCCTCCCATTAATCTGCTTTTCGCTTTTGAGAAAAATTCAGCCTTGAATTCTATCCAAGGTTACAGTTTTGTCCAATCCCCAATGGTCAGCAAGACAAACTATGACTTCTAGGAATGAGGCTTCCTAGCACCTTGGGACCCTGTTATCCAACCAAAAGGTTGGTCATCAACACATCCTTTGAATTAATTTATGACCAAAAGGGGGACATGTGGACGAAAAAGGGGCCACATATTAAACCTGACCAGCTCAGGGGAGGCCTGTACCCTGCATGGCAGCCTTACAAACAGAGAACTAAAGTAACCACATAGGATGGTCTGAAATTAAAACTTCTTAACTAAAAGCGAGTCATGGCAGGTAGTTACGTCCTAGGCTGGTATCTTCCTTGACAGAGCCTGTCTATTATCTTGTTGTATCTATAATAATATACCTTTGAAATGTCTGAGGAATCCCTTTTTTCCAGAACCCTCAGGGCACAATCTCCCACCAGAGTGTATTGTTATTATTATTATGTTAATTGTTAACTGTTAACTGTCTTATACCTGCCTCTGCAAAAGAAATATGTGTCTATTCTTTTTCCTTTTTATCCAATCCCAGAGTTTTCCCCACTTTGCTTTCCTCCACCTCCCTTATCTATTACCAATGGATTTCATGTAACCCCCTTATAGCTTCCCCTTTGATTCTGATGTATAAAATAACTGCCATTCTCTGGAGCATTTTCTCAGACAGTTGAGATTTTGCTTCTGGGCAACTGTCAGATTGGCTCAGATAAGCTCATAAAAATTCTTACAGATTTGGACATTTCTTATGATGACACTTCTTTCTCACTATGGAACACCAAGTCTTGAATGCATGGGCCTAGTGGCTTTCGGAGGGCAAGGCATGCATGGCATGGACCACAGGAGGCCCAGGGAGTGTGCTACTAATGATGCTGGAGCTGGTACCTGTGTCCACGTGTGAGTCTGTGGCAGAGTGGGCCACCTGAACTGTGGTTGTAGAGTTGGGCCCTTACCTCAGCCTGAGTGAAGTTCACCAGGGTCTCCTCAGTGCTGCCCTGCTGGGCGTGGAACAGCCGGCCAAGCTGAGGGCCCTGCACCACCCAGTAGACTAGGTGGTGGGGGTCAGTGCCTGTGCTGGAGCTGGCTCTCAGGCTCTGGCCGCTGAGCGGCTGGACAGACCCTGTGAGAGGCAAAAGGGGCCTGTCAGACTTTAACCAGGAGCCAGGGCAAGGTCTGGGGCTGCTGGAGAGGCAACCTGACCCTGGCATGCCACCTACCCTTGGCAGACCCACCTGGGCAGACAGTTAGCATCCGGCTGCCCTCCAGTGAAAGCAGCAACTGCTTCTGGGCTGTCACATGGAAGAAGTGTCCAGGGGAAGTGTGTCTGCCATCAGAGAGGCTGAAGCGGAAGCCTCCATCCAGGGCCCCTGAGGTCAGATATGGAGGTGGGTCTCACTGCCCATGCCCATCCTCAGGGTGCCCCACCCTCTGGGTGCCCCGCCTTCAGGGTGCCCCACCCTCGGGGTGCCGCGCCTTCAGGGTGGCCCACCCTCACAGGATCCCCCCTTCTTGGCACCCACCTTGGTGTGAGAACAGCACAAGCTCGCTGTCCAGGTGGGCTTGTGTGAAGTTGTGCACCTCGGTACCCTGTGCCGCCTTCAGCACTACCCGTCCATTGCTGGGCTGCTCAATGCTGTAGACCAGGTCCTCAGGCTCTGAGTCACCGTCTATGCCCCTAAGGGCTGTCGTAGGGATGGGCACAGTAGCCCCCTCCCACATCTGGGGACACAGGCCTGTGAAGGTTCTGCCCCCACCTATGGCCATGCTGGGGTCCCCTGCCCAAAGTACCCCACCCCATTCACCTTCCCCTGTTATCCCTGGGCCCACACGCTCAGGCTCCCTTCCCCCATCTGCCCTAATCTTCACTGTCCCTCAAGGACAGCTCATGTCCCTCTACCTCGGGAAGCTCCCAGCTCCTACCCACAGACTTCTCACTCCCAGAGACCCCCAACCCTGACCAACAGCACTGCTTAATCTGGTTGTCTCACAGGCAGTGCAGGTGTCCCTGAGACCCTCCACAGTGAGTCTGGGCAGGGGCTGGGCAGACTATGGGAAGTGATTTTGCCTGCCCAGTATACTTAGAAGTGTTCTCCCCTTCCAGGTCAGGGAGCAGGTGGGAGGCAGGGAGAGCTGAAGCAGCACTGGGATCAAGGCAGTTAGCAGCCCCAGAGGGTGGGTGAGGGATGCCTTGATGCAGAATGCCCTGCCCTATGCTCAGAGTGGAGGGGAATGCCCCTCAGCCCCCACACCTGCCAGCAGGGCAGGATCTGTTCCCAGGGTCCTGTTTCTTGTTCTGCTGAGTTAGCAACTTGTGAGCGGTATTGGGGAGGAGCTTCCATACCTGGAGAACTGAGCCCTCTGGGATACGGGGCTCCCTCTCCTGCCCTAGGCTGACCCCTGCCTGAGCTCCAGGAGGAGGGTCACTTTGTAGGGAGGTTCCTGGTATGAGCACGGTGGACAGCACCACCTGGTGGCTGAGCTATCATAGAGCATGACAGGCCTGTGGTCCCTGGGCAGCACTCAGCTCTCACAGGTTTTGCTGGTCTCCCTTGCCACTGGGCTGCTCCCTACAGGCACATCCTAGCCCACAGAATAGTGCTCGTGTGACAGAAATCATGTGAGCCCTCTTTTGAAGCTTCCAGGCCTCCTGCTGACCCGAAGCCCACACCCTAGAAGTCAGCATTCAAGGTCTTACCCATCTGCTGTCTAGCTGGGTGGCCTTGGTCAAGACATACCCTTTCCTGTTCCACCTATTACTTTTGAGACTGTGGAGAGGTTCTGTCACATGCCTGGGTCTCAATTTTCACCTCTGTTGGATAGCGGCACCACTGCTGTGTCCTGTGTGTGGGGGTAGGGGCTTGGGGAGCCAAGCTGCGAGCTTTACATGCTGAGGGTGGAAGTGGGGAGCTCAGTGGCTCCTTACCTGGAGCCTACCCTTACGGGCTTGAAAGCACTTTCTTCAGGAGTTTGGTCCTAAGCCATAGAAAAGCCCTTCTGTTGAGGGCGAGTCCTGGAAAGAGCAGGGCCAAGTGTGGCCATTCACAAGGCTGTCTATAGGTCTTACAAGTATCCAAGAACAAAGCCTCACACCTGTGTTCTATATTCAGTGCAACAGCTCTTCTCCCTTCCAAACAACCTAGTGAGGCACGTGGCAGTGTCCCTATTTTAAGGAGGAGAAAACTGAGGCTCAGAGAGGGGGGGAGCTGTGTACTGGGCCTCTCTCCAGGAGGGAAAGTGGGAGGAAGTCCTAGATTGCTCTCACCTGCAGGCCTGTGTTTGTGGTGAGGATGGGGGGTTGGTTGTTGGCAGGAAGGATGGTGATGGTGAAGGCCACTGGATGGCTCTGGCGGTTTATCTCTGAGGCATTGGCCACTAGGATGAAACTGTCCATCTGTGTCTCGCTCCCATCATGAACATAGTGGATCAGCATCTCTTCCACCTGTGGGCCAGCCATGAGCTGGGAGTCACGTTCAGCACTCTTCCTACACCGCCCTTGGTGGGGGAGGAGACTGAGTCCCTCAGAGCTTCAATTTCTGCAGGTCGGGACAACCCTTTCTCCCAGACGGAAGAAATAAAAGGATGAAGGAAATGGGGAACAGTCATTTCTACCTGCCCAGTGAGGAAGGAATGAGCTAAGGCATCTGAAGCAGACGCGCTCTGCAAAGGTGGGCTCCATGCTTGCTCTCTGCACACATCCCAGACTGGGCATCACTAGGGCTCCCCAACTCTGTTCCCAGAACTGGGCTGTCCCCCAGGGCTTCCCTGACAACATACCTCTCTCCAGGAGAAGGTGCTGAGGGTCTCATTTTGAGGGTCTCCCTCTCTCTGCAGTGCCCCACGCTGGGGTGATTCTAGCACCTGCAGGTGAAGGTCTGGCAGCATGCGGAAGTAGGGCCTGGTGATGCGGACCAGTGGAGGGGCCAGGGTGCAGGTGCCGCCTTCGGGGACACTGAAGTTCTGTGCCTCCAGTGGGATTGCGGCAGGCAGCACCTCGAGCTCCATGTGGACACCTTCGAGGGGAGCACCCAGGCCTGAGGCCACGTCCAGGGAGAAGGCATCACTCCAGACCTCAGGGTGAGAATGCAAGTACAGGACCCTGCCCGCGTCCACTGCCTCCTGAGAGAAGCTTTGCACAGGGTCCAGGCTAGGCAGCTCGGCCGCAGTGGTGGCATGAGACAGCATTACCAGGTAGCCGGCACTCGGGGGTGTCTTCACTGAGAACACAATGTCTGCAGGTGGCACTGCCTCCTGGGCTGCCTGGTTAACAGAGGGTCAGGGGTACTTACCAGAGGCACAGAAGGAGGCCGTCATGGCCTCTGAGACAATCCCTGAGATGTGCATAATCACACATCCTCAAATTCAGTGACACAAACATATAACTCACTGAACAAAGACACATAGTTGTCCCACGTGTACACACACACACACACACACACACACACACACACACACACACAGAGTCCCTCCTCCACTATTGCCACTTCTCACCACCAGAGAGCTCCACATCCTTCTTAAGAGGCACAAGACTCTAAGACAGTATAAGCTCCGTGGAGCTTGCAGGCTCCGTCCAGACCAAGGATTGCTGGGTGCTCCCTCACCTGATCATCACCCTCTAATTTACATTCCTGATTCTGTGCCTTTGCCTGGACTGTGTCTTCTGCCTATAATACAGTTATCCCCATTTCCTGCTATTGAAACCCAAGAAGACTCTTCAAAGCATGGTTCAAATGCTACTTCCTCCAGGGCAAAGACAGCCTGATGCAAGACATGTTTAGTCACATTCTGCCTGAAAGTCCAGACAGCTAGAACCACAAGGGGCTCAGAAATTGGCAGTGTGAGAGAATAAGACCCAGAGAGGGCAAGAGACTGGGGTAAGGTCACAGCAAATTGGTGGGCCTGCTGGGAAGCGTATAGCTGTTCCATGAGGCTCCTGGGGGGTCAGGAGCCCTCTCCAGACCAGGAGTCCTGGTCTGAGGTCTGGGAAAAGAACTGAGGCTATGGGAACCTGGGGGGCAGCTAAAGCTCCTCAAAGTTTGTTACTATGAAAACTCTCCAGAGAAATTATTGATACTAGAATACAGGTTCTGAGGCTCAGCTTCAGAGATTTCAGGGCCTGGGTGGGGCCCAGGAGTCTGCATGGTTAGTCACAGCATGTACACATAGGCACATGCCATTTGGAACACACAGTGCACACACATAGACAGGCAGCTATATGTACAAATTTCCCAGAAATGCTTGGGCACACAACACGCATACTCAAGGCATGCACACACACTGCACTCAGAAACCACCATAGGCACACCGAAAACATCCAAGCATACACAGCATGAAGGCCCATATTCCCGCTCACCACCCAGCCCTCTACCTCCAGCTGGTCCCTTCTGATCTCAGCTGCCTCCCCCTGGAAGACGTAGACCTTCTTGTGCTGAACCAGGTGCAATGGAGCCAGTCTCCCTTCTAGGGCAATGGTCACATGTAGGGTGGCATCTGTGTGCACAGGCCCTGCATCCACAGAGAAGGCCAGGGTGTCATGGGGGCTGAGGCTGCCATTGTGGCTGTAGAGAATGGTCCCGTCCAACAGGTCCTGATGAAAGAAGGCTTTGGCTGGCTGGCCTGCCCGGAGCAGCTGCCCCCAGTATGGGCCAGCTGTGACATGATAGTGGACTTCATCCCCACTGCGGATGTCTAGGTTGGTGTCCAGGTGGAGTACAGCTGTGTTGATGGTGCCCTGGCCTCCTTGAGGGACCACAAAGCGAGAGCCATTGATCACACGGAGGTAGGGATCTGAGGCTTGCACTTCAAGCAGTGCGGTGGCCTGGTGCTGCCCATCAGACACCTGAAGCTGGATCCAGCCACGGTCAGCCCCTGAGTGTACAAATAGTACTTGCCTCTTCCTGAGGTCCTCCTGGGTGAAGCGGTAAATGGGCCGCATGGGCTCATCCACAGCCACAATACTGCCAAAGAGGAGGTCCTTGCGGGTCAACACCAGCTGGGCATCAGTAAAGCCAGAGTCAGCATCACTGAAAGCCACATCATCTGTAGTGAGTAGTCGCCGCCCACCCCGTGCTACATGGAAAATGCGGCTGATGGTCTGCACGGGGGCATGGTCATTCACTGGCTGGATGGCCACTCGGAAGACACCACGTACCTCCTCCCAGGCCATGCCACCACTGCCCTCACCCTGGCGGGTAGCCACAAATGGGATGTCATCTTCCGTGGTCTCGGAGTCATCATGCTGGTACACCAGCCGGCCACGTAGCAGGTCCTCATTGGTAAAGGATGTCACCGTGGTGGTCTTGTCTTGTGTTCCCCGCCATGCCAACCTCCCATGACGGGGCCGCTCCATGACCTCGTAGAGGTAGCTGACACTGTTGAGACTCTTGACAAAGAGGTGGTCAGCGGAGAGGACAGCCTCACCACCTTCAGGCACTGAGAGGAGAACATTGGTGAGTATGGGAGCATCTGGGTCACCACTAATATAGATGGGGAAGGTGTAGAGCGGTGAGAAGTGTGGCAGAGCCGTCACACGGAAATGAAAAACATCCTCAACTACCTCTGAGGCACGTGCTGTGGCCCCGTAGGTCACCCGACCAGCTTTCAAGTCATCCTGGGTGAAGCTCTGACCTTCTGACAGCCGTGTGCCCTGCAGCCGCAGATTTCCCTTCCTGGGGGCTTGAACCACATTATAGTGGAAAGTGGTGGGGCTTGGGCCTGCCTCCTCCAGGGTGGCCTCCAGGTGGGCTGTGGTGAGGCCCTCCTGCCGGGTGTTCTGAGTGTGCAGTGGCTCCAACCGCAGCATCCACACAGTGGCTCTCTGGACTGTCACTGGGAAGGACAGGTTGCTCAGGGTCTCCTGGCCCACCTGCACTTCCAGGGCCAGGTTCTCCACTGTATCCTCAGTGTGGTGCTCTGGGTCAGTGCTTAGGTACCTCACTCGGCCCTGCTCCACGTCCCTCTGGTGGAAGGCCTGCGTGGCCCGCCATTCTGTGCCCTCTGCCCCTCCTGCCCCCTGCTTCTGCAGCTCCCCAAACTGCAGGGCCCTGGTGACTCGGAATAGCACAGTCACATCCTGCCCCACAGCATTTGTCTCCACGGATAGGTTGGCGGGCAAGACCAGTGCAGTAGAGCCCTGGGCCAGGTGCAGCCCTGTATTGTGGCGGATCTGGATGGCTGGCCGGACAGCCACCACCTTCAGTGTGGCCGGGGAGCTGGCCTGCAGCCCATCGCTGACCCGGAATATCAGGTCCTGCGCAGGCCCACCACGGTGGACATAGACAAGGCTGCCTGCTTCTAGCTCCCGGCAGGAAAACTCTGTTGTTGGCTCCCCGGGATGGTCTCGGCGTTCCACAGGGCTGCTAGCCAGGGTACCGAGGAGCTGGAAGGTAAGGCCCTCGCAGGTAGAGTCTGGGTCATAAGCCTGGAAAACTTCAGGGCCCAGTGGCTTCTGTGTATGTTCTAGGATCACCATAAGGCTGCCATGTGGGAAGATGATGCGGGGTGGGTCATTGACAGGGTTTATCTGGATGGGCAGAATGTAAGTTTGACCCCTCCGAAGGCAGGAGGGCACGGGCCCCCAAGCCGTCACTGACACCTCCAGCACCAGCTGGTCAGAGGGGTCCTCAGAGCCATTGTGGATGAAGCGGACCTTGCGGTTCACCACATCCAGGAGGGTGAACATTTGCCGAGCCTGTGCTCCTGGAATGTCCAGCTCTAGCTTGCCATGGCGTGGCCCGCGGCTCACACTGAACAGCACCTGGGATTTGCGCAGCTCAGCCTCCTTCAGGTCCAGGGTGGGTTGCGTGTGCCGCCACTCAAGCCAGGCTGTGCCACCCTCAGCCACCACCAGGGGGCTTATGGTCAGCAGTTGGGTGAAGTTGGCAAAGACAGGAGGCAGCCCAGGTTCAGGCACACAGGGCTCAGGCAGCTCCATGGCTGGCCAAACCTCAGGTGCCAGAGTGGAGAAAAATTCATAGGGGCCATAAGTGTCCTCCTCATATTCGTCTTCCTCAGGACTACAGCCGGCCACCATGTTACGAGTCAGCAAGGCTTCCCGGAGTCCTTGCCTCTGGCCATTGATGCTGAGGTCTTCCATACAGCCCAGTAGGGAGACACTGACAGCCTCTGGTGTCAGGCCTAGGCGGTGTTCCTGGAGATGGCGAGAGGCCTCTGCATCTAGCCCCCCGAGGAGGAGACTGCCACGTGGCTCCAGGTAGCTGAGGACTCCGCGGTTGAAAGTACGTGTTGGATACTGGTCCACAGAGATTTCCAGTTGATGAGCATCTATGTGGACACTGACCTCATGGGGCTGCCCATCAGCCACAGGCACACTGTTGTGGAGCAACACAGTGCCCTGACCTTTCTCCACCACAGCCCGCAGGTGGCCCTCAAACACGTCCAAGTAGATGAAGTCCCCACGCTGACCCCCTGCCTGGAAGGCCAAGGGTGCCTGCTGGCTCCTCGTGGTGAGTGTAAACTCCAGGGTGCCTTCATCCTGAGTGCTCCAGGCAGGGAAGGCAGACAGTGAGCGGGGCCCAGAGAAGCCCAGAGCCACATCATCACCAGCAGAAAACTCTTCAGCACAGCCCTCATGCACATCTGGGGTCAGTGGCTGTAGAAGACTGCGGCCATTGAGGGTAGCTGCATGGAGGCAACCCCTCAGGGGTCGGCTGGCTCCCTTTAGGTAGGGCAGGCCCAGGCTTCCAGTGCCCCCCACAAAGAGCCCATAGGGGACCTCCAGAGGGCGCCTTGGGACTGGGGCTGAGGTATTGAGGAGCCCATCTACTGACAGCCAGGCCCAGCCGTCTGACACCTTCAGCCACACTGTGTGGAGGATGGAGTCACTCAGCATCATCTCTGACGGGGTCTGCAGCCTTAGCTCCTCCTGGTCTAGGACAAGTCTGACCTGAGGAGAGACAGGGGTCGGGGAAGGTAGCACTGTGAATCTATCACTTCTGCTGGAAAAACATAGTTGGTCCCCAGGAGCACTTGGGGTCCCCAGAGTAGAGGGCCTGGGGCAAGGGCTTCTCATGCCACCCCTTTCTCCTTTCTACTACCTCTACTCATTCCATAAACACTCACCAAAGTAATCCCTAGGAGGTCTGGACAGGCTCTGGACCCCGATGTCAGTCAGATGTGGTCCCTGCCCACAAATAACTGACATCTAGAAAATGCTGTTCTACACATTCAACCTGGATTTTTTATTCTTTCCCTCTTTCTTTTTAAAAAAAATATTTCATTAGTTTTCTTAGAGAGAGGGGAAGGGAGGGAGAAAGAGAGGGAGAGAAATATCGATGTGCCAGAGAAACGTTGATCCGTTGCCTATTGCCTGCAACCGAGGCACATGTCCCAACTGGGAATCAAATAGGTGACCTTTTGGTTTGCAGGCTGGTGCTCAACCCACTGAGCCACACCAGCCAGGGCTATTTTTTCCCTTTTTTTTGTGGGGGAGGGGTGCCAGAAAAATTACCTTGGAACACACAAGATTCTATCATGGGCACCTGGGAACTCTCTGCTGAGGGCCCTGAGTGGGGCAAAATTGGGGTAGGGTGGAGGAGGCAGTCACAGAGGCAGCCAGGCTCACTGTTCAGGGATGGGAAGTCAGTCAGAGCCTCTGCATTGTGAAGGCTTAGTAAGAAAAGCTCCCTGACCTAAAGTGAGGTGAGATCTTTGGGGAGAAAAGAGGAACATGCTTCTATCTACAGGACACTGACACCAGAGCTGACTCTGGTGCAGTGACTCCCCAACCAGATGGTAGAACGGGTGGTGGCTGAGTAGTGGAACTGAAATAGCAGAGCACTAAGGGCTGACACCTTGGGAGTCCAAGTACGGAGCAGCTCTGTAGGGGTGTGGCCTCACTGTTTCTGACAGAGAGGAAAGTTATCAGGACCAGGCTGTACCAGGCCATGTTCAACAGTGACACCGTATGACAGGGAGAAGCAATGGCAGCAGCAGATGGACTGATGGATGACCAGGCCGTAGTGGGGTGTGAAAGCAGATGGCTCTCACCTGGACTAAGACCTTGGGTTCTCAAATCTTTCATGGTTAGCGGGGAGTCTCAAGAGAGAGCCAGAGAATCCTTGCTAATATAGCTTGTGGTGACTTGAAGGATGAAATGGAAAAATGAGAAAGTTGTGGTGGTGTTATTGTTACTGTCATTGACAGACATGATTGGTGTTATGCAGAGCCCAGGTTAGCACTGGGGCAGGGGCAGGGGGGAGGGATGTTCACACTGAGAGTTCAAGGAGAGCCTTGAGTTGGGCAGGTGCAGGGAGTGGGTGAGGCCGGCACCAGGCAGAGGGAGTGGAGTGAGAAAAGTCCTGGCAGCAAGAGACAATAGATAACCAGGGAGCAGAAAGCCATCAGTGCCATCAGCACCCAAAGGGCCAGCTAGAGTTGTGGTGAGAAGTGAGGTTGGAGAGCAGGAGGGACTCACAGCTTCTGGAATGCTGTCGTCCATCTCACAGTGGAGAACTTGAGACCCCCAATGTGAGAACAACTTGGACAAGGTCACACAGCTGGTTAGGGGCCATTGAAAGTGAGAGTCCAGCAGGGGGATGTCACTGACCTGCAGGCGTCCAGAGTAGAGCTGCAGGAGGAGGTGGTCAGCTGGGCCTGCTCCCAGGAGAAGTAGGGCTTCAGGCTGGGATGTGGAGAACTGCAGCTGTAGTTCGATGTTGGTCAGAACTGTGTCCACAAGCACCTCCAGGTGGTTCTCACCGAAGAAGGAGGCTGTGTGAGAGTGTGAGTCTTGGTCAAATTTCAGACCTTTGCCTAAAGAAGGGGAGGTGCTACAGAGTGGATAGGTAGGCTTTAGGGAAGGGTTTTATGCTGGCAAACCCTCATGGTTCTCCCATGTGGCTGTAAGGTGCCCAGACTAGATCTTGCCTCTGAAGAAGGCCAGATTCAGCAAATTCTAAGCAACTCATGTACCCACTTTAGAGATTTCTGGGGCCAGGGGCCTCTGCCACCAATGGCTCTCCTCCTCTGGGCTCCAACAGCACCTCCATCCTGGGTCTGGCCCCTCTTTGGCCCAAAGGGAAACCATCACTGGCATGGTCACCTGCTTAGTGGCCACAAATCCCAGGACTGGAGTTCCAGAAGAACCCAAACTGATCCCAGCTCAAATTCCTTCTCCTAAGTATCCCTACACTTTGGCCACACTTTCCATGCTATGCTCTGCCTCTGTGGGTGGGCAGAAGCCCGGTGGTTATGCTGCCAGGCAGCCCACCCATCTTTGCTTTTCTCTTGGGTCATGCTCCCAGCTGCATTTGGGGGTGGCAGAGGCAGCTTCTTGGTCTGAGTCCATCGAGGAACAAAAGTTCTAAGGCCAGATGGAGGCCACGTGTAGTGCCGCACCCCAAATGGGCCCAAGCTTCCTGCATCACTCCATGCTGTATCTTGCTATAGAGCTATTAATGGTCCCTGATCAGCAGTCAGGTCTGGCTGAGATGACGACAGCTGAGTCCTCCAAGCCTGGGTCTGAAACTGAAGTCAAGGCCTGGGAGATGCTGAGAGTCTGCTGGGCAGGCCAGTGGGCCTACCAAGGCAGCAGGGTCACAGGGACCTTTTTGTCTCATACTGGGACACTTCTTTTGGTGTTGCCATCTCCTTCCAGGCATTTTCCCAAAGTTAGCCGCCCTTGACCTCCAACTGGCTGCCACAATTTCTGGTCTATTCCTTTGTGGAGATTAGGGCCAAATATAACTTTGAGTCTGTCCCCCAGATGTCCAGAGCTGGGAAGGGCAGAGAGGAATGGGTTAAAAAGATGATTCATCCCTGTTGGGCTTCCCTTAAAGCGCATGTGAGTGAATAAAGGCTGGTAGCTTTGATAGGGATGATCTGGCACCAGCTACATACCTGCTCATCCTGGGCCAGCCTCTGTCAGCTGACATGTGCCTGAGGAAGTAGGTACTGGAGGAGTCGGAGGCATGCCTGGTCTAAGACAGCCACCACCACCTGCAGGGCTCTTCCTCTTGGGCTGAACTGAAATCCCCTCTAACCATCTCCTTTGTCAGCACTTGTTGGAAACATCAGAGCCTTAGTTTGGGAAGCTAAAGGAGCCAAATGAGAACTGAAAAACTGTCTGGGCCTCATGGCCCAGCAGGCCCAGCAGACCTCAGTGCTGGTGGGGGACAGGCTGGAGACTGGCAGGTAGGAGACACCTACAGAGTGACTTATCTGCAAGGACATTGATTCTTTTTTTAAAAAAAATTTTATTTTTTGATTTTAGAGAGAAGAGGGGATGGAGAGAGAGATCTATTTGTTATTCCACCTATTTTTTTTAGACTTTATTTATTCATTTTTAGACAGAGGGGAGGGGAAGAAGGAAGAGAGGGAGAGAAACGTCAATGTGTGGTTGCCTCTCGAGCACCTCCCACCGGGGACCTGGCTCACAACCCAGGCACGTGCCCCGACTGGGAATCGAACTAGCAACCCTTTGGTTTGCATCTTGGGGCTTATCCCACTGAACCACACCAGGGCCACTTATTTATGCAGTCATTGGTTGATTCTTGCATGTGCCCTCACTGGGTACTGAATCTGCAACTGTGGTGTATCAGGACGATGCTCTAACCAAGAGCTACCCGGGTAGGCAGGACATTGGTTTTTTAGAGCAAAATGCAGCACATTACACTGAGGGCAGCCATAGCATAGATGGTGGGGCATGCGGTCCCTGCACAACAGGGCCACCATCATGGTAGGCTAGAGATCATAGCAGCTGGCAAGAGCTGATTGTAAATTTTTAGGGATTTTGTGAGCCAGGTGATGTAGCCCAGTGAGAATATTTATACCAGGGAAAGAGGCCAATGTGACAAGCTAGGGCTCCCTGCCTCCCAGAGAGCCTGTTATTATAAACATTTACTTGCCTACCACCCACAAGGAGTGAGTCCTGCTTGGGAGTTGAGCCCACACACTGATCCACACTCCCTTTTGCTAAAGGTGGATATAAACCTGCTGGGGCATGGTCAAGGTCAGGACTCTGGACCAGTTCCTGAAGTAGCTGGCTGGCTGGCTGGCTCTAACCACTGAGCAACTTGCCTCCAGTCCCCTCACAGCAGGCGAGAGCAGCAGCCAGTTTGGCCTATTTCTCCAGGGCTAAGTGGGAGGGCAGCAGGAAGTAGAGGTACTTTCCAGAGGGTTGGAGTCTGAATGGGCTCATTGAGGGGGTGGGCCCTGCTGTTTCCAGTGGGACCAGGCAGGGAAGGGCTCACACAAGCAGCCTTGTGCTGTGCTGGAAGTGCACAGGCCAGGCAGGCCCTCCACCCTGCCCCAGCAGAGGTTTTTGAGGCCTTGCTGGCCAGGGTTTTGGAAACTCTGACAGTGCCCCTACACTCCCACCCCCACCACCCCTACTTCCTGGTCTTCTCCCTCTGTCCCTCTTACTGTCTCTGTTGGGCTGCAGTTGCAAGAACCTAGAATCTCTGTCCTGGAGGGCAGGCAGTGGGAAAGGACTTTGAATGGATAGGGAGTGCAGGATGAAGAAGTAATGAGCTAGCCCTGGCTAGTGTGGCTCAGTTGGTTGGAGCATCGTTCCATAAGCTGAAAGATCGAAGGTTCGATTCTTGGTCATGGCACATGCCTAGGTTGCAGGTTCCATTCACCATTGGGACCAATTGATGTTTCTCTCTCACATTGATGTCTTTCTCTATCACTCTCTCTCCTTCTCCCCCTCTGTAAAATCAATAAGCATGTATTTGGGTAAGGATTTAAAAAAAAAAAGGAGTAATGAACTGGGGGTCAATCCCTAAGGGCTTCCTAGGGGGTATCGAGGAGGAGAGAGCGAGGAGAATGGGTAGCAAGGACAAGTGAGAGCCTGGCAGAAATGCGTAGGCTCTGGAAAGTTGAAGACGGAGGAATAGAGGGAAAGGTAACATGCATAAGCCAGGCTTAGTGGCCTGATGGGGTGTTGGGAGGTAGGGGAAGAGATGAGGCATTAGCACTGCCTGGAGACCTTCCCTTGACTTTTTCGGGTAAAGAAGACCCATGATTCATTAAAACACCAGCTCAGGCCTGCGGCAGTTGGAGAAGGGCCCCGTGCAGGCCTCCGGGTCACCATTTTGTAAAATGAGCACTTCTTTCCACTCCTCCCTCCTCTCTGGGGATTAGTGATGGAGGTCCCTCCCCCTTCTGCAGGTCTGCTCTCTACTATGGGTATGCAGAGAGTTCATGCTGTGGGCTGCCTGGGTGGTGCCAATCCTTCTGAATGGGTAGAACAGGACGCCCACAGGGCTTGGGGATAAGTGAAGGTGTGGGAAGAGCCTCACAGGTATGGGTTTCTCTGACTGGAAAATCATATAAGTGAGTGCCCAGGGCTACAGAGATGTGTATTTGCATGTGTGTGCAAGTGTGTGGGTGGCTGCTGGGTGTGTTTAGGATTTATGTAAGGCTGTGTGTTTGTGCACATGTGTGTGTGTGGGCTGGGAGCTGCCAGGACAGAGAGGTGATTGTGCCCAGGCCTGTCTTACCCCTCAGTGCCTACCCGCCATGACTTGGCTGTGCCATCTCCATGAAAGGAGCTCTGTGTTCCTGGAGGGTTCCTGCCCCTCCTGCTCAGCGCCCATCCATCCGAGACGTTTACTGAAGGTGGAAAAAGCCCATAGCATCCCACCCTTCCTGCCCAGGAACAGGGCACTGCTGTCTGAGTCCAGGGCTGGGTGGCTCCACCCCTGTTCCCAAGACAAGGACTGGGAACACAGAAAGAGGCTGTGTCCTTTCCCACCAAGCCCTTTCTCACATGGGCCTATAGCAAGCCACCCTCTTGCAGAGCATGGTTACATGGGCATCATCTGGCTCCCTGGGGGCACTCCTAGGATGTTTATGAATGGGAACCTGGTCCCTGCTCCTGGGGGACCACAAACGTGAGGCTTACTTTCATCATGATGCCCAACTCTCTGCCTGTCAACAGGTTCTTAGGACAAGGGGCAGAGTATATGCCCATCAGATTGCCCCCACTCCAGGTTAGCTAGGGGCAGCTCTCATGTATGGGTACTTTTCTAGCCTGGGGGCTGCTGCAGACTCTGCTCCTTCTGAGTCCTCAGAACCTCTGGGGCTAGCCAGACTGTCTCCCTGGCTCTGTCCCATCTCTCTTTGTCTCTGTCTTGGCCTCTCAGTCACCCTGCTGCCTGTCTCTGCCTCTCCTTTTCCTCATCTCTCCCTGTCTTTGTCTTTGCCTCCCCTCTGCCCCATCGTGGCTATAACTGGGAGCATCATCCTTGCTCCAGAAAAGTCTAGAGAGCCTGGCTTGGGCCTCAGCTCTGGGTTCCCACTTCCCAGGCGATCAATTCTACACTGTCTGTCCTTTATCCCCACTTCCTGATTGATGGGTTCTACACTATCAAAGTTCTCTGCAGCTCGGCCTGCAGTGGGGGACTTGGCTTCCACTTCCCAGTCAGAAAACCTGCAGTCCTGGCCCTTCCACCTGTCTGGACAACTCCACCCCACCTCACCTTTCCCTGGCAATCAATCCCTTTGTGCCAGCTCCTGCTGAATTCCTGGTCGCCTGGGGGCAGCCAGCAGCCCCACAGCCAACATGCGTCATGGGCAGCAGCAGCATTCCTTGGTGTTTGCTGCTGCCTGACTTTATAAGGGAGAGAGTTTGGAGCCCAGAGCTGCTGGGTGGGGTGGCTGATGGGGATTGCCTAGGCCCACGGTCAGGGTGGTTGGTGGGAGGCCTGGACATGTGTGTCAAGGAGGGACACATTGGTACCAAGATGGTGCAGGAGCAGGGAGAT